GAATATTGGATACATTGTGCCTTCTACTGTGCTACTGAACAGGTTTCGTGAACTTGGTGTTCAGACGTGTACGCAACGTATTAGATGAGGTTTATTTCTGGTGTCTCAGCAATATGCTTGTTGTTTTGTTATTTATCAACAATTAAAGGGCTGAGGTTTAAGCTTAAAAACGGTGTTACAAAGTGTATTCAAGATGAGGCACACAAAGACGTTATTGTACATGGTGAGTATGAGATTACTGCTCCCCATGAACACACAACCCATATCAAAGTCCGTGATGTGAAAAAACATATACTATATCAGAGAGATAATATAAAAAGCGGGAAATTTGCATTCACAACAGAAGACTTTGATTTATTTGAGGTGTGCTTCGAAAGTCAGCCAGGTAGTTGAATATCTCCATGTCATCTATGTTTGCTAGATAATACTGACACGGAACAAGAAGTCTTTCTCAATATAAAACACGGTACCGAGGCCAAGGATTTTGATAAGGTTCGTTGCTCACTTTTTGCTTATGTATGTAGATGGCGAAAGCAGAGAAATTACAACCAATCGAAGTGCTACTGAAAAAACTCGAAAGTCTAGCCGATGAAATCGTGCAGGATTTTGTTGTCATGCATTCGAAAAGTAGCAAAATGCGAAACATCAACGGTAAGTAAGGTTGATATCACATTCTTGTTGCTTCATATGTGATATAACGATCTTCCGAGTTCGTATAAATTGATGATCAGTCCCATTATCGTGATAGTGATCACTGTTTACACACTAAACTGGCAAAGCGTTGATAACGGGTTTCCGTCATTATTTTCCGCAACTTATTACAACAATAGTCATCCAGTTAGCACATTTCTAGAATCTTAGGGTGAAATAGGTTTGACTGTCATCGATAAGTAGCTATTCTGCTGCCCGTACTATGCCAAAATATTCCAAAGTCGTTACGTTTCTCATTCTTTTCGCCAGCGATGATGTACGGCTCTGTAAAGTGGCGGAATGTGATACCCTTTGTTTTTTGTTTGTTTGTATATGAAAACTAGTGTCCGTTCAGCACATTTTTGGTTGACAATAAACCATGTCTCTTTGTTTCTTCTGAGCCTACGCGTAGTTAGTGGATATTTGTTTTTCATTTCCTAAAACTTGTATTCTGCTTCGGTTTGGGAACCCGGGCAGTATCACAGCCCTCACACATATCGATTGAGATCTGTGTGGCGCATATGTATTTGGTGCCTTCTTGTACCAATATCTCTGTGTTAAAATTAATAAATAAAAACTTGTATATACCCTCGATAAGCCAGTCCACTGGGAATCATCAATAGCAAACGGAGTAGAACTTGTCACAAATTTGCGTTGTCTCAAACTCATGCTACATGTTATTTTTCGAACTTAGAACTGTTGAACATTATATCGACAATTTCATAGCTTTAGGAGCATCTCTCTTATGCTATAAATGATACATTGTGCCGAAAAACAGGTGAGGTTGTTCAATCCCTGACGAAAGTTCATCAGACACTAACCTGCCAGGGCTGAAAAAACCTCAATAGTAATTGCAGTAATCAATACACTCAACTGATTTGCTCGCTATTATCATGTCCTACCGATATCGTCCCAGAGAATCCCACGTCGTGTATTAATTGAGAACGCTGGAACTGGTTGGAAAATGCAAAGAGATGGTCAATGTGTGACATTGTGTCGTGGTATGAGAGTTGATGTCTGATGAAATCTCAGCACGAATTCGAAAAGCTCGTTTGGTTTTCGCCAATTTACGTCACCTATGGCGAAGGCGAGATATCCATATATCAATTAAATGACAAGTATACTGCGCGGCAGTTTTTCTGTTTTAATTTACGTCTGCGAAACGTGGTCACTAAGGACAGAAGATATTCGTAAGCTAATAGGATTTGACCACAGATGTCTAGGAAATAATGCTCGCATCTGCTGGGACCACCGGATAAGTAATAGTGAGATTAGACGCAGGGTATTAGGGAATGATGGTAAATCAGTTGATGAGATTGTGAATCTTCATTGACCGAGATGGTTGGGCCACGTGTTACGTATGCCTGAACACCGATAACCACAACGCGCAATTCTGACTAGTGTAGGGGATGGTTGGAAGAAAGTTAGGGGTGGCTGAATCAAAACGTGTCATCAGTGTTTGAAATCATTGAGCCACGCTGGTAGATGCAGAGTACTTGGTAGGGGTTCGCGTGACTCGTAATCGATGGTTTAAGACTAAGTGACATGGCTCAGAATCGATCACAATGGCTTAGGTGAATACACTCTTTGTCTTCCTTTAAACTATGAGATTAAAATCACTTCATTTTTTTTTCCCTGTACTATGTCCTTATATGCAATCTTTCTTATATATATTGCCGCCACTGAATTAACTACTACTATGAATTTGGTATGTCGTGTTGAGTTAATGGGGTATGACAACTTGGACCGGTCCACATATGTGCCTGGTCCTACGTTGTAGCTGACTGGCTGGTGGAATTTGCACAGGACTGGCTTGACTGAATTCTTTCGGGTTGTATTTTTACTAACCGAACTGCTTTTCGCCATAATGATGTTTTCACTTCACTTCTATACTTTAATTTCTGTTCATTGTTGTTCTTCCTTTTATTATACGCATTTTACGCCTTTTATCTCTTCACAACCTCATTGTCATTGTGTGGTATTTGTTATTTATTTATTTTAACACATAGATATTGCTACAAGGAGGCACCAAATAGATATGCGCCACACAAATCTCATTCGATATGTGTGAGGGCTGTGATACTACCCAGGTGCCCAAACCGAAGCAAATGGTTTTCTTAGGGGGGCCACTCCCCGAGCCTCCGGCCTGAGGGTCTGATCCACAAGGCAGTGGAACATCGTAGAGAGATGCAGTCCCATGGAGGCCTGTGACGAACTATTGGTTCATATGCCATTCGTTTACACAGGACACTGGAGCCCATGTGCACCATTGGTTTGGAATCCGGTTAAAGCGCCGGACATTCGCTTTTCGTCCTCTCATTTTCGTAAACAACACCCCGGCTACAAGAAAGCAGTGAGTAGAACTTCCCTGACAGAGGCTATATACGCGTGGCCACGTGAGAGCATTTCGAGAGGGAGAGCGGACTCTCCCCACTCTCGGCCGTACCAGGACATTTGGGGGCCATTGTGTGGTGCATATGTATATGGTGTCCCCCTTGTACCAATGTTTGTATTCAAATAAATAAAAGCTTACGGCATCGTCAGAATTATATTCTTTCCGAAAGTGTAGAAGTTTCTATTTGATTCCTATGTTTTAATAAACAAATTTTTGATTGCTTGCTAATCACTTACTAAACCAATACTGATGAGTACTTAAAAGACCATATTGTCAGTTATGTCACGTGGGTTATAGTATCACTTCCGTAAAAGTACTAATTTTTTTTACTTCATTTGAATTTTCGTAAAAGTCAACCCACTTTCATTACTTCTTATTTTCCAGAATCTACTCATACAAGGGTTCTCTACTTCTCAATCCTTTCAATGGTAATCCTCATCGGCTTCGCATGTTGGCAGGTACTTTATTTAAGACGTTATTTCAAGTCGAAGAAGCTGATTGAGTAATGTAAATTGACTTTTCATCTTTTAATATCTGCGAAGAAATCCGTTTTATTGTACATGCCTTGCTTTTGTTTCATTTCTGAAATAATAAACTCGTGTGGGAAAACTGTACAAATCTAGTCTCACATTGCTCATCCTTTTTTATTCGAAGTTGCTTGTCTGAACTGTCGTTTCATATGTGTAAGATGTATTTCCCTTTAGATAATATAGCGGTATGTGGCTTAATATGTATTATCTTTTTTTCGGTCATTTTCTAATAAATGCTTTTAAAGCCCGTTTTGGTGTTTTGTGCTCTGCGGAACTGGTGATTGATGAGAACAGAATAGAGCAATCATAACACTCAGGATCTAGTTAGAGAACTGACTGAACATTCGTGATAATGCTTATTCTTAATAAATGACTTTAAAGATGGATACAAGAGAAAACTGAAAGAGCGAAAGCAGCCTGTCGAAGCCAGCTTTAATAAGACTCAATCAGTGACCAAAGTAGTAGGGTCTGTGCACATTCCTTGCGAACGTAGTACTACTACTACTACTACTACCGCGTAATACCATTGCTTATTTGGTATTATTTATATTACTTCCATAAAGCGCACATGCTGGTGCAGTCGCGATGCGAATTTTCTATACTGTCTTCACACACTACATATATCTGACATGCCGATCCACCTACCATCGAAATGCGAGGAAAACCTGACATTTTTGGTCTCTAATATCATATCAACTAGAACCGATTGCTTGATTTGTCAAACAAGGTGTTGTTTAGGACCAACACCTCCCAAGTGGATATTAAACGTCCGAGCAATAAACTTTGAACACACTATCAGTGCCAGCTTTTATAACCAGTTAGTAACACAATAGAGCCTAATACAAACATCGATTCGCTCAAACGTCCACGCCTTGTCTGGGGTGTCACCCGTTAATACAAACCGAAATAGCATACTGAGTCAAGATTCAAATGGCTATGTGCGCTACATGTTTTTACCAACTTGGTTAACTAAGAATTGCATTCGGGTTGACGAAGGTTTAATAGGCGGAATAGTTATTTACTTAGTTTCTTAAAAAATAGTGTTGTGTATTTCATTCACTTACCTTGTCAATATCCGAGTTCTAGATTGATAGTCTGTTGATACATACCTAACCAAGCCCGTAACTTAATCATACTATAGGATGTGTACACTCCTTGTCTCCCCTTAAACCGTGAGATCAAATTGCTTTATACCTTTCTTTCTTCCTGTATTATATCCTTATACACAACTTTCCTTTTATGCATTACTGCCATTGAAGTAATTACGATGAATTTGGTGTTCACCCTGTTGTGCTAATGAGGTGTGGAAATTTGTGCCTGGTCCTACGTTGTGGCTGACCGACTGGCGTTCTATGGGGTCTAGAAACACTAAGATGCTGATGGGACAAACTTCATAACGGCTTCCCATAATACCAAACGGAAAACTATCGCTATATCTTAAAGCGCAATTACAAAACCTTACATCTATCGTGAACCTCAACTCATTAAGTCTATGTACGTTAAGATTTTTTCTCTATACTATGCAATTCAATGAAAAACAGATTTACTACCGCAAATACACAACTAGTTCAGGCTCGGTTGATAAAATAAGTAAAATATAAATCATTGATATCTCTGTACAAATTAATTTGAGAACGACACATCAGAAAAAAGATATAAAAAGAGTAACTAATCTACAGATTTCGTGATACTTCACAAATATCTACATTCAAATCAAAAAATGACAAAAGTGCATAATCAACTTGACGTGGATCATTTCCTGAAACTGAGTGTGAACATGAAGCTTTCGCATGCCACTTAAGCAAGCGTTCTAGACATTCAATTTCAGTGAGTAGTGATTTAATATTGGACGCTCCACAAATCATTGCACAGATGTCGACTAGCCACTTCATGCTTCGGCTAGGGTCAGAACAATGTAAACATACAGGTTCCTCAGCTTCTAAGATCTGAGAAGCATTGAGATTGTTGGATTCTAATAAATCCGCAGGAATTCAAATAAAAAATACGGATAATAAATTATTCAGATAACTCGTCAACAACAGTAAAATGAATCACGTAATTAAATAGGTCTTATAACAATGCAATGTGCTGAAATCCTAAAAACAGTAAATTCTGCATACTCTAAACTGAGTGACAGCGATTAGTTGTTTTTGTACTTCTCGTTTCTGAGATACAACCAGATCCAATAAACTTGACGTTAAATATCTTTACACATAGTCTACGCTAGAATTAGAAGAATGGGCTACTTTGAGAGTCAAGTGGTAACATTGTGTGTTAGAATAGTCAACTGAAATATCAAAGTTTATAATGAGAAAAACAACCCAGATGAGCCCTTCCTAGTTATATAGCTTAGTGCTTTTGAAGAACGAGATATTGGATGATTATCGATCCTAAGAGACAAACTAATTAATATATAGATTGAAATTCGACATTGGTTAAGGACTTCTTAACCATGAATACAGGTAATCGACTGGACACGACTACGCATATAGAGAAGTGGAAACAATATGAATCCATGTAGAAAAGCTCGGTAGCGCGTAAATGAAGCAACTAATGTGCTTGAGAAGAAATGTAACCATTTGAGTTATGTGCTTCGGAAATGTGACTGTATGGACATGTAGCGACGTTCATACATTGTTTCCCTAACAATTGATGCAACTAAATCGCTTCTGTAAAACTTAGTGCTCAGATAAGTTTCCACAGGAGAAAATAAGTATCCTTAGTGTTGCACGTCTGGCAACATGGACTTACTTACATCTGTTACTCTTTGTGGAGGAGCATAGGCCGTAAGTATCGATCATGCACATACCGAATTGAGACACTACGGATCATCGCCGAACAATCAGTTGAATGGGACATGTCACTACATCAACTTCTTTGATTATGAAAAGGCGTTTGACAATGTAGATAGGAGAACATTATGGAAACTTCTTCGACACAAATGCACAACAGACACATTAACATACTACATCAACACAAAGAGACTAAACAAACAAGAGGAATGGTAAAAGATCTGAAATAATTTCTGCATGAGATTAGGAAAGACTAAACATTAAATAATGCAGTGAGAAAAGAAAGGGCGAATTTAAGCGATAAAAATACGAAATAGTTATGAAGCTCAAGACTTAGACGGTGATAAAGAGTAAATGCATCTAATCCACTAAGGTTAATGTCACTCGATGTCTCCAATTACAGATAGCTCGAACACCAAATAGTTGACCTGACTCTACCAACACTAAATAACAACATGAACTAATGCTTATCCTAACAACGATGAGAGCCACATTTCAGCCACATAGTAACAACCTAATGACTCTTGGACTTGTAGAATAAAGTGTAATGAAGGGAGTGTAAGATAATACAACCTATTTCTGGATGATTTCTATATATAGAGTTGTTGTTGTTGTTGTTTTGCTCAACGATGAAATGACTTGTCAGTAAAAAACGATTCTGATGAGATAAATTAATATTACCTATAGTTAACATTATTGGTAAGAGATATGCATGCTAAGAATTATTATTCCTTCTGAACCTGTACATTGGATAACACTTTTGAAATCTAATAAAAATAATGAGAAAGCCAAAACGAAAAAGAAAGTTGTCAAATTAACAATAAAATGATGGAAACTGTTAATCAATATACATTACCTTCCGTTAGAGAATTATCCTTGTCTTTCTGTTTGGCATGAACTAATTCATCATGACCAAGCGCTCTGGATAAACTTTCATCATGTTTAGCAATGAATTCTTCTACTGGTTTTGGTAAAATAAGTGGCTGTTTGCTACGATTACGATTTTTCCACTGAGATTTGCTGGAAGAATTTGAAGACCATTCTCCGATACAAATCGAGTAGTAATCAGATCGTTGATTTATCAAATCTGACCACCACTCTCTTATAGTGCATTCATTAAATCCGCATGAATCGGTCAATGTTTGATGATCATTGAAAGAATTTGGAATATAATCATCGACATTAATATCTTCGTTATACAAAAAGTTTAACTGTGTATTGAGAAATGGGCTTAGTAAACCATCTTGTTCGCAATTTGAAAGTAGTAAACTTTTGTAAGTTGTGGTTTTTTTACTGTTAGTACTGGAATCAGATGTAGAATTACCGACCACCATTTGTTGATGATGCGTACATTGATTTTGAGTAGTTAAAGTTGAACCAGTCAAATCAACCACTTGACATGGTTCGAATAGATTACGCAATGGTTGAGATAGTAACAATTTTACTGAAGCCTAAGTGAAGAAAACGACTATTAATAATATGAAATGAGTTTATGTACAAGAAAAGCATGTAATCATTAGGTATCTATTCTATTGTAATAATGTTGAAATGTAATCGAATTTAAAAAGTTTATGCTCATAATGAAAAGTAAACTATTCGACAAAAATCATTATACGTAATATTAATAATAAGAAATAAATATTAATGGAGTTGTAAATATTTATTTTTGAAATTCTTCCATATATATTCATTACTATTTCTAGTCAAAGTGATATAATTTCATATCTTTAAATTAAAGACTTTGCCAGAATAAATAGTCACTAGGTTTCTATACGATAAAAATAAATTCCATCTCAGTCAAATCACAGGATCTTCCAATGAGTCACACATAATTTATTTTTCCTCTTAAGAATATGTTTGGAAAAGGGGAAATTCGTTCAAGAACAAAATATAATATTTGATTCATGATAGCGATATATATATATATATATATATATATATATATATATATGCTGATGTTGTTCGGAAGAACAGTGAAAGCTTCACAACTAATCTATCCAGCTCAGAGGACGAAATTCCACCAAAACCAATCACCTCAGCTACAAATATTCTTCACCATCTCAATAATATTATATTCCTCTAATTGCGATTCCTCATTTGGGGCATAAATTATTGTTGTATGGTTTACCTTTCTTGATTGACTACGAACCACTTGTGGCGTGGTTATGCCCACATTGTAATATTTTATCGGTGTTGATGTTTGGTCAAAAAACTACTCCATATTATTGTATAGATTGAGTCATATAACGAACTACTGCTCATCGTGTTCGCTTATGAGATTGAATATTGGAAGTAGAATGTTCCATTTGGACAAATAAGTGTTTACATTATTTTTGTCACAGCTCAAGATTAATCGTTACCAGAAAATGTGTAGGACGTTAGTTTATAGAGAAATATAACCACTAAATCTAACACAATGAAAAAAACCCACCTACAAATAGGTTTACAGAAATACCAGATATTTGAATTAATTTAAAATAAAGTATTCTCTTACCTTATTTATGAGATACACAAACATAAGAATTTAATAGCAATATAGTAGAACTTACATCAGCTATTTTAATTTTTTTCATACTCTTCTCATTCCAACCAATATCACGACCAATTTTGAATTCAGTTGAACCTAAGAAATCAGAAGCTTTATCTAAGTTGAGTAGCTCAGATCCTTGATTAGCAGTCATGACTAATGGTTGATTAGATTCATGAACTCGAGCATTACTATATGGATTTTGATCACTTTTCAACAAATGTAAATTAAGTTTGTGAGATGGATGAAATCTTGAGTCGATATATTGCACCCATGAAATCCAGACAAAAGGTCGATCGTATAATGAGATGTCCGACGTTTGACCACTTTTAACTGGACGATTGGGAAATAACTCCAGAGCTTTAGCGACAGAACTAAGTCGATGCTAATTAATTAGTAAAACAAAGCAATGAATTTGTAAAGATGATACCTGAAAATCCATTCAAGTAAATGTTCACAGTCGTCAAATATCTCATGGCACAAAAAGAGAACGAAAATTGTGTGAGGAAAGTGTAGATTTCACAGGAAACCACAGATAACTTTATTTTATAAATTAGTTCACAAGTTCTAAACAACATTCTTGAAAAATTGTAATAAAATGTTCGAAATGTTTAGAACAGAAAGTAGAAGAAAATTGGATAATTTACGGTTGATTACGAATTATGATAGAGTACATGATAACCGTCACTTTTTATACATGTAGAGTTGTTGACAGCTTTTGGATCGTTGTATTGTTAGTCTAGTCATTAAAAGTAGGATATACAGTTTGTTACCAAGAGCGATTCTGCTTCATGTTTATGAAACCAGGATACACTCAGTTGGTGATATTCTACAACTATGTATTTTATGATTATCACATTTAACATCCAACGACAACACTGTTAGTGATACTGATGTCCGACAATGTGCATTCGGGCATAGTGTCAATAAATCTCACCAACTTGAAGTGCTGGTTTTGGTGGCTTGAACAAGTAGATCGCAAACCACTCATTATTTCCCGAAGCTGAGACTAGCTAGAAGAAAACGGAGACATGGTCAGTTTATGACATAACGCTGCGGCACGTGAGATAGTTGTATAGGACTATCATCTGTCAGTTCATAATATCTCCTCAGCTGAGATCCTAAAGATCGTGCAACTCAATGCTTTAAGGAAGTATTAGATAAAACTGATAAGAAAGATAGTTGACGATACGGAAACCTCTTAATTGTTAATCGTTCTCAGCTTTATCTTCTACTGAACTATACATTTTGCCAAATATTTTTTATTTTTATTCATTTTTCATAGTACGGCCTTTATTATAATTCTTCACAGCATATAACACTTCAGTGCATTTTGGCCTTAGAATGAGCTAAATTTTGTGTTCAAAACCAGCAGTGAGATTAAACAAGGTTTATTTAACCTAGTCATTGATACGACTGTCTAAACAGCTCTGAAAGAAGTAATTATTCATGATATAAACATTTTCGAGAAAGAATTTTTGACCTTGATTATGCTGATAACAAGCAACCTACTCAATCAGTTGTCAGCTAGTGTACGTATGTATGGCATGTAATGTACACCAATGGAACACAAATTACTTCTATGATCTGGCATGAGTCTAACTGTTATGTCTATGTCCCGCTAACACTAACCGAACACTCAGTTTTTGCGATAACCAGTGGAAAATTGTCGAGTAACTTGGCAGTTTTGTTGATATTATCATCTGACTATAAATGACAAAGTGGAAGACAATGAATGAAATCGGAACATGAAATGAATATTACTGATCTACGATCAATTTACCATTGATATTCAAGGTTAACTTACTTCAAAGGTATCATCGAATTTGAATACAAGACGTAACAGTATAACAACTAATGCCATTGCAAACACTTCCGGTCGAACGACCCTGGGCCAGGGGATTGAGCTTAACAAAGAGCGGTATATATATTTACCAACAGGAATACATTCCTGCTGTAGTCTCTCTAACAAAGGTCGTACAAATTCATGCATTACCACCGGAAGACCTAGAGCGGTTATATGACGATGCACCAACCAGCTCAGCGGATATCTATACGTAAATAATAGAAAAGGCAAACTTTATGACATCGTGAATTGATACGGTATAAAGACATCAATTTTGATCCAGTTTAAGATTAACTGAGTGAACAGCTGAATCAATCTATTTTAATATTATAACTTTCTCAGGACAATAACATATAGCTGTTTCATCAGAGTGAACACCTCGAAAGTGCTCAGAAGTAAACATTTACCAAGAACCAGTTTTGTAACAAAAATTACTGAGGTGAAAACTTATTGCTTAGCTAGCATGGTTTTTTTAATTGTCTGCTCATGTACATTTAATATGTCATTACTACTCCATGAGTGACTGAACCCAGGCGGAGTTACTTACCAACTAGAAACTCATAGTTTGAATAATCATATTAACGTTTTGCATTATAGATGTGCACAGTAAATCGTAAATGAGATAGGTGACATTTTGAAACAGAACTAGCAAGTACCAAGTGCAGTTGATAATAAACTTAATTTTGCGGTTTAATGTAGGTCAATAGGAACCTAAACTTAATAAGAACTATGTACTTTTTTGGACACAACAATACTTGTAACAAAGAAATGATCCATATAAATAAATAAACTACGAAACTTACATAAATGCTTCTCGATGTTCAGAAATTCAAGAGGGTTACCCTTACCCATCCACAATAGCATATGGATAGTCGTCTACAAATGTCGATTTTCCCAAACGACAATCAAAAGTCAAACATAAAAGCAAGCTAATGGTTATTTCGTACAATTTCGTATTTAGTGTTTTATTATCGAATCTCCTAAACTTTCTTTCATTGTTTATAAGAACGCTTTTAAGCTACTATTTTGTTGATGCTTGAATACGTTCATTTTTCGTTCTGTTAATAAGGGCGTTGCAAAACAAATTTACGTGGATTAACTTTGGGGAGAGCAAGAACAAAGATTGGTGCAGAATAATATGAATTCATTTTATTTCGTTAGGTTCTCATTAGCTGCATACAACCTAAAGTATTTGAAAATCAGAGTTATTACAGATATTGACATACTTATACATAAGAGGGTGATTAAGGATGAATATATGTTTCATGATGCAGCGAAGATTCCGATAGAGTTAATGGGGTCATAAAATTTTGTTTCGAACAAATAAAGTTTGGGAGGGAAAGTTCCAGAACATTGAAATAGTGATTAGAACTCATGGAATTAGAAAAAGCAGTCGATGAGACACTAACGAAATAAAATGAATTCGTATTATTTTGCACCAACCTTTGTTCTTGCTCTCTTTAAGATAATAAAGGGAACTATGTGTATGGGAATAACTTTGGGCTTAATCTTATTTGGTAGATCTAACAAATCATTTAAGTAGTATTTAGATGTTCGTTTTTTGAACTAGCCAGAACTGTATGAGAAAATTGGATACTGCTTTTTTTATTGTGTCACTACTTGGTTGGGATCCGCGTGACTATCGTAACCAATGTTTGGAGACTCTTGGTGACATGGCCCAGAATCGATCACAACGGCGTAGGTGTGTACACTCTTGGTCTTCCCTTAAACTATGAGATTAAAATCGCTTCATATCTTTCTTTCTACTAACTAATTCTTTCTTCCAGTGCTATATCCTTATATGCAATCTTTCTTTTATATTTTACCACCACTGAATTAACTACTTCTATGAATCCGGTGTTCATCTTGCTGTGCTATGCGGTATGACAACTTGGACCGATGTATCTATGTGCCTGGTCCTACGTTGTAGCTGACTGACTGACTGACTATTGTATCACGGTAGCTAGTATTTAGAATATTCAGGCGATTCATCCAGGCATCACCCAAATATAACGACTAAAACACAGAGTTTTGAAATGCTCTCTAGATCTATTACCATGAAGATAAGACAACAATAGTAGTCATTGCAAATTCATTATTATTGATAGGGGATCAGATGTCATCTATAATAGCACCGAAAAGTCCGTTTGAAGTAAAATTGAAGATAAATGGACAACACACAGGGTTGTAGAAAGTAAAAGACTTCTAAACAAGTATAATCGAAACACTCAAAAACGATTTAAAAAACAATCACTCCGCTTAAAGGTATTAAATCCTACATTAAAAACGATAATATTTTGAGGTTCAACTTATATCAAGCTATAAAAATAACTTATTTAATCCCAAAGTTGTGTAGAAAGAAAGTTCAACATCAACTGAAAGTCATCTACACCTGAATGGTAAAAGATACTCCCGGAATAAGATGCAGATATAAAAGTCATTGTAATCATGAAGTCCATAGTAAAACCATAAAATACTATTGAGACAAAACAAATATTTTTACTTTGGGAAATGATTCAACCCAATAAATTCGCGCATCCGAGCAGTTGCATACGCTAAATGATTGATTTCCGGAGGTCTATGACGTCGGATTAAACTTAGTAGACTCTGATCACGAATGCAAAAGGCCCCTGGAGGAAATAAACTTTGAACCTAAAAATATATAAAATGGTTTATCAAGCGTCAGTTTTCAAAATAACAAAGCTCATCGAGATGATGTAAACCATGCTTATCTTAGAAGTCGTTAAAGCTACCTATATACTTACATAAGAAGCTTACTAGACATCTATAAATTAGATCCAGTACTAAGAAAATTTGTGTGAGTCGTCAGATTAGGATGTATTGTAGTGCCGATGTTTGATTTACTAAATCTGAACCTAAATGTTGGCTTCATTTCAATCATCGTATTTGCTACTTGTTTAACAAAATCACTAGGTCATTAATTACTCTTAACCTAACTTATGATAGTCATTCAAACAAAAAATGCGATAACAGTTATACACGCTTAATATACCTAAACATAAATGGAAATGATCAAATAACTAGTTTCATCTGCTTTCGTATATTTTATATTTAAATAAGATTAGTTCAGCGAAGAGTTCTCTTTTGGGCGAATTCATTTTCAAAGCTGTACAATCTCAAATATATATATAATTATTTTACAGGATGATAATAATTATAATAATACTGATAGTAAACTGTCACCATGTCTAACAGAAGTTTATGATCAGTATTATTATAATTATTATCATCCTGTAAAATAAGTATATATATATATATATATATATATATATATATATATATATATATATATATTTGAGATTGTACAGCTTTGAAAATGAATTCGCCCAAAAGAGAACTCTTCGCTGAACTACTCTTCCTTATTTTATATTTGACAAGTAAATGATGTTAGGCTGTGAAATTTGAACATAGAAATTAGATAACTAGTAATAAACATGTTTTCCCTACGTCGTAAAATCCACATAAAAGAATAGAATAAATGCACTGAAATAAAATAGAAATCTTATTGGTGGTTTGAAGTGATTTCAATCTGTTCTGAAAATTATATGGTTACTGGAGTAGGAACGAAAGAAAACGCCGAACAAATCACACAAAAAGGGAATTTCGTAAGAGTAGGTGAATGAATAATTCTAGTTAGATACTGTTTTACTCAAGTAATTTTAGCTGTAAACACATTACTGACAAAGCATGATCTGGATTAAAGCTATAATACTAACCAGTTTAATCGCTTGTAGGAAAAAAACACGCTAGAGTAATTTAAAATGAATCGTCATCCAGTAAATACATTTTTACTAAACGCTGTTAGCATAACGTACGAAATGATTGTGTTATGAGTAATATTGTCAGACGTAAAAGTTGGATAATAGTGACGTATTTGCTGATAGTTCATTGAATAAAACATACTGGGTTTGCGAAACTTTAACCGTTTGAAACTGATAATATAGTTTAAACAATGGAAAACAAAATTTACATAATTAAGGACATTCATACAACTTCGTGGCCTCTGACTTTAAAATGACTAAAATAACAAGGAATAATAAAATTATAAACAAAGATTGGACATACTTTAGTCAGTGAAGTTTAGATTAATGTTCAAAATTGTACCGAAAATCAGAAGAGAAACAATAGGACGTATTGTTTAGATTTATTAAGGTAACTGATTGTACGATACATAGTTGGTTGTATTGTTCTGTTCTGAAACTTAACCAACAAATTTTCTCTAAATGATCAAATCTGACATAATCATTTTTACTCAGTAATATCTGTTTACCCAATAACAGTAATGCAACTATTTCTACTTGGCTACCTTAACCGCGATAAATGAAATGATGTTGAATGTTAAAATCAAATATTTAAAAAGTGAGATTCTAGATCTGTTGAGTAACGAACAAAGAAGGAGTATTGTACTACTAAATTTATATCAAGAAATACAACACTACAGTTACAACTCATTGATTAATGTCAAGAATCATAAAGCAGGATATTTGCGACTACTTGGTCAATGCATAATCTGTCACGAATTTTCGCTTAAATCTCTTTTCGTCTTATGAAAATGGAAACAATGAATTTCATAGATAATTAATAAGAGAATATTAATGATATTCTTTAAGAGACTTATCTAAACATGAAGTCTCATACTAAGACGAAACGACCGTCCAGTGCTTCCAGGTTGTCATTGGCGGTCTGACATTGATCCATTCATGATAACAATCTTAATTCAATTATCTCCACAACCCTATACTGAAAAATATTTTGTAAATTTATTAATTTAATAACACATTTTGTCAAATTACACAATACACATGAAGATTATGAAAACATAGTGAAACTTACAGATATGAAAGGTAAACGATTATTAATGCATAGGTCTTGTAAATCTTTTAAAGTAATCATTGTAGTAAGTGCACATGGATTATTTGGGAAATCTGGATTTATAAAATGTGAAGAAAATAATGGATTGACTGCGTTTCGTACAGGACAAGTAGTTAAACAAGCGATAAACAAAATAGCCACATTATACTCCATTAACACACGACAGTGAAAACCACCCTCAATTTGACCACGCCAAAGTAAATGACCTATCGGTCGTGACTGAGATCTGATTAAATAAGGAAATAAATTATAAAAAAGTAGGTTTAAACGTTGGTTATTAATCTACAATACAACTGCTCGAAAAATTCAATCAAGTAACTGCATAAATAGCAGTATCTATAACTACACTGGAATATATCAAAATAAGTCATAGATGACTTCAACAAGTGATTTAATTGGTAGTGCCAAATCTATAGCACAGCCATATTCTCGAAACTAACAATGATATAATGATAGTGTTACACAATGAACACGGTCTCATATAAAAAAGAACCAAATATTATAAAATAAAATTTTCTCTCAGCTGATTAGCAAAATATTGTCAACTAGCCAAAAAATGGAAGATAGCTTATCTGAATACTTAGCAGTGTGTGGTCTCGTATAGTACAATACTGTTCAGGCAAGAATTCACTGACATACAAAGGGGAGAAAATGTATACGACACAATATAAATAGCCACTGATATTTGGATTATCAGATGTGTGTTTGAACGTCCTGAACAATCACAGATCACTTTAGTTGGACATATCAGTTACATTGACTTATATCACTAATCCACTAAATAGTTCATTCAAGACTAATAAGATAGCAATCACCTCTTGAAATAAAACATCTTGTCAATCAACGAAAATTGACTTCACCCAGAGTACACCATCATTAAAGCCCATTGCCAAGTGATGCGAGAACAGTTGTTTTAAGTATAATAAAAGATTAACGGCTTTCAGGAGAAACTTAGGATCCAGAAGTAACTCATACAATTATAGAATGAATAATCATATCTTCCGAGTTGGTAGAGTTCAAAAGTTAATTATGATAAGGTATAAATAGTTGAAATATCAACTGATATGACATTAACTTGTTCAGACCTGTTTTTGATTGATCAAATATTATTCTTATTGTTCCGTTGTACTATTTAAACTTGGATTAATTTTAATGTGGTTATTTATTCTCTGAAGAAGTGACTTACACTAAGTCACGAAACGTCAGGAAATCTAATTTTCTACTCATTGGGATATTACAAATATATTATTTATTTATAACAATCTACCCAATGCTCAATTTAGTCGAAATCATCAAATCAAACCTTGGTAATGATACATAATTATGATAAGGTATAAATAGCTGATCTATCGACGTAATTTTTAATAAACGCAGTGCCACTAGGTATGATTTTAATAAAATTTATTGATATGTACAGCTGAGAAATGCCAAAATATACAAAACACCATAGTTCACAAGGCAGAGACTCGATTGACGCGTACATGAATTACAATCAAGTCGGAGCACGATGATTAGCCTAATTTCAACCAATTATTCCCAGAGGCTGGATTGAAAAGACTAGATTTCTGTGTAAATTTTCAACAAACCCTTATGTTTTAACAGTATTAACTTTTGCTATTCGGACTTTTAGAACATATTTTCGTATGCTCTCGATTCATGTTCTGATTTAGGATCAGCCAAGTGAAGTATCATGTCCAAGGAGTATATAATAAAGCAAACTTAAATTTACTTTCTGATTTAAAACGGTTTAGAAATAACATCAAATTTTCAGCGGAAACACCCATTTGAACGTTTAAATCATGACTAAAATAAAACTCACAGTTGTTTGGCGAAATGCTGTGGTGGTATTTCTTGTGTCCAATCATTATTAGGGAATAATTCCGATTCCACAGCTTTAGGTTGATAGGACAGGTCCGAATCGTGAACATCTGGGTTTCTCAAATCAGATGAATGAACGGATTGAGCATCGTCATCAGGATTTTTATCAGACAAAACGGATTCTGATGAGTCAGACTCACTACAGTCTTTCCGTTTACGTCCACGTCGTTTAGATTTTTTACTTTTGTCAACTTTTTTCGATGCCTTTCTGAAGTAAAGACGAAGTAAACCACGAAAAGTTTGTAGTTTTATTAAAGAATAGCTTTGTAACGAAAGTTGTTCACTATGGTACCACACTATCGAGAAATTACTACTATTTAAAAATATATCTTTTGTTTTGATCTTATTTTAAATATCCCAAGAATTACTTAAAAACGTGTTTGCTTTGTGAATATTGCGAGAAATATAGATAAAGCAAGAGATAGTCGAATACGTCTTCAGATCAACTCAACTATTTAAATGAAAATAAACCAAGTTCATTGAGTCCACAGTGTTTGCTAGATCTTGCTGATCAAAGGAATCAGAATATTGGCAATGATGTGATTGAACTTAAATTCCAGTTAACCGATCCGTGAATTGTGGGTGTTGCTACAACTTGATTACAAATATTAATGATCAGTCCTCAAACGGCTGTACCTTCGGTTCTGTGGTCACAGTCCTAGGTTGTCAAAATATCTACCAACTTTGTCATTTACAAGTAATTCATAAACAAATATCCTTCCATAATGTGAGGGAACTGGAACTGGAAAGTCTTCAAACAGTACTGACAGTACTCGAGTTCATCTTATTCATAAGTAATCTGCTTCTTCATTCATTAATATTCCCTCTATTTTAACTAGCAGACCTCCTTGGCTTTGACTAAGAAGCCCATAGACCGTGTAAAGGTTGTCTTCTCGAATACTAACGCCCAAACCAAAGCTTATGACGGACTCATCAAAAATGTCAACCTCAGGTGGCGATTGTCAGTGTTTCCCATTTTAATTAGTTTTATCGAATTTCATCAGAGATGTCTTTATAAAAGTTACAATTCCATCCAACGTTTCAAGAATTGATTTACGCCCTGGAAACTCACTCTTTGATCTAGTGTACGCAAATAATATAGTCCTGTTTGGAATCCGTTTCTCTCCACGCAACTGCAAAACTTTGTCTCAGGACTAGTTCGTGTCAACGCCTCGATCGGTCATCTAAAGTAAGGTAGTGGAGTGAGTTGACCACTTCACTTACCTTGAAAGTTTCATCAGCCCTATTGTATTAGTAGCTGATCAAACTCCAAATATGAATTCACCAAGTTAATTTAGCTTATGTTAATTTGGACCACTTGTGGTGTATGATGTGTCATTTGTCAATCGAGGGGCGAGTATACTACTGTTTATTTAAGCCAACTCATATATTGGTACAAATGAGACCAAAATAAATATCTACTGAGATTGAGAATAGACAGAGAAAGGAGGGTGAGTATGATCAAAAACGATATACAAATAAGAATAAGTGGATGAGGGCAGTGAATAATACGAGCAGTTCCGTTAAGAAAATTCCAATGAGAAAGAATATTTTTAATTACAGAAGTTTCTCTCAGTTTTAAAAGAGAGCAAACAAAAACTACAACATGATCACTATCGGCTTCTATTCTGAGCCATGTTTGATAACGTCTCAAGTCACTGAGTTGTGATATTTGTTGAACCCCAACCAGAGAGTCTCGAGAAGCACAGACATGTCAGTCCTGTACAGTTATCTTCCATATCCCGGCACCAAGTTATAAACTGACCACCTCTCTGATTTTTCCAACCACCGTATTTCACCATGACTGTAAAACATGTCTATGAACATAAAAGACATGCGTAGGTCACAGGTGCATTTTCAACACTGTTCGCATATTTTAGAGCAACTGTGTAAGCGATTCTAGGGTCAGATGTACAGTAAGCATGCGTAATATTACTAAGCAATTAACTGTTGAAAGTAGATGTTTTTAAAATAGCTGGGTAAAATGAAACTTAACTATTTTTAGCTTTAGTGACATAACACTGAACTAGGTATAAATTCAAAACTCACTTTTTTCGAGACAAATGTAGGATATTAGTTATTTCCCGACCTTCCCCTGGTTCATACAATAGACCCCAACCAACCCACTGAAATTGACTTAGACGAGTTTTTATGAGCTCCCATTCGTGTTCACGCTGGGTAATCATATAACAGTGATCCGATGTTTTGTGTTTCCGTAATATTTTATTAGTAGGCTTCTCTTCTTCTGGAATCATCTTGCTTTCAAGTACTTCACTAAGCGACTTTGCCAATAAAAGAGCTGCATTTACCCAAGCATCAGAGCCAAGTTCGCCAGTGATAGACAAATAGTGGAGCCATATGTTCCAAACAGTATCACAAAATGATACTTTTTGTTCCACAGAAAGATTTAATTCTTTAGCCAAACAATTTGCTTGACGTCTCATTATGAACTGTAAAGTGATAACAATAACTTTGTATATACAACAACCTATGATGCAGAAATGAGACTTAACAATGACTCAGATAACAATAACTAACTAAAGTTTAGTTCACTTGTTTCTCAAAGTCTAGCGTACCAAACGGAAATATAATTATTTTACAATGAAGAAATGTACAGCTTGATCATGAAACTGAAACCCAACAGAGTCTTAAACTTGGATCGTATTGGTTAAAAGTCAAGTACCTTAGCTAATTTGCAACTATAGAGCTAGTGAACGAGAGTAATTCAGTTGAATATGCACAGAGAATCATTAGATACGTTTTAGAATCAGACACTTTTACATTCGCTATATTTTTTAATGTTATTAAATATAGACAGGATCAACTTAAATAAGTATAAAAAGATTCCAAAATGGGAAGTTAAATTCATTGTAAACAATTAATGGGCCACTTTTAGAAACGACAAGATGTACACATACATATTACTTTTGTTTATTTTCACTGACTACCATGGTTAATATAATACATTTCATGATTGGTGGCTAAAATGAAGTGAATGAGTTATTTTTTGCTTTTGAATCTCATTCAAGAGATATCTTTAGAAACAATGTGCTTGAAAAAGAAACATTATTATGAAGTTGTCAAAATGATATTATCTTAATAACTTAATTAAATAATGTATGGCTTCACTACTTAATAAGAAAAAATATTACACTAAATTAGATATAATGACTGAAATTAATAAGGTTAGCAGGATTAGACTGTATAATCCTTTGTTTTGTTTAAGTAAATAATCTGTTTAAAATGGTTAGTTATTATTCGACACTCTTTTTTAGTAGTAATTAGCCCTTTAAAAAAAAATTAAGATTGATGAGCATTTTTGTGAACAATTTCATTTCTGCCTTTATTGAATTTAAAGCTTATTTATAAGATATAATATGAATACAGAACTGAACAACACATAATTTAATTTTTCACAAGTTCTAACACTTTTAGAGTAGAATCCTAGTATTCTACACTTACATAATCTTAGCTAACAATTAATGACTTCGTAGCGTTTTGTTTTTAATCACAGTACATTGAGTATTGTATCTAAGATCGAATATTCTGTCAAATGAATCAAAAATTTAGTTATGAATATATTATATTAGGGTTTCAAAGATTATATAACGTATCTTTACACCTACTATCAATGTTCAGATCGTCGGGAGATTTAGGAGAAAAAATAAATTATCTCCAATTGTACACTACTCTGACACATCTCATTGTGATCCAAAACTCCAGATCCATGAAAAATGACCACAATTAACTTTACGGTCAATAATATAATTGTGACAATGAAACGCTGTTACTTCAACAAACAACACGTTTGCATGGGCTAAAGATAGATAAATATAAGAATAAACTCACAGTGAAAGGTTCAGATAACCGCCAAGGACGATGGCTTTCAAAGCACTTTTCTTTCTGCATAGGATTAGTGAAGCTCACCTCATTCGCGCTGAAGAGATCATCATCTAATGTGTTCAACAGGTCTTCACGACAAACAAAATTCATATTTTGGTCATGTGTGCTATCCGACTCAACTTTTACAAATCTCGATGTGTCCGTTATGTTATCTGTAGCTGCCTGGTTGGATTGACTACCTATAAGTTCAGTCTTTTGAATCACTCGTAATCCGCGGGTTTCAGAGAAATCCTGGGACTAAAAATATGGATTTAAAAGTACGGTAAAGCTTAATACATATAACTAAATGATAAGTTTAAAAGTAAGTATGAACTATTTAACGCGCAGAAAACTCTTTACTACTAAAGTACTTGACCATTCATTGGTATTTTTTCTAACTTGAAATTTTCCCTAGTGAGTTGCTTTTAAAAACTTGTTGATTTAAAACCTAAACCACCAGTCTATTTAACAAACAGTGAGTACGTCTACATATGCTTATTATCTGAATTTCATCAGATAGAAATATGTCAGCCCGCTTAATTATTTCATGACAACAGAAAAATCTTAACTTGACGAACAGACTAAAATTGAATGATGAACTTTTATCAGTAACTCATCAATATTAAGCATACAAAAGATTAGATAAAGAACCAATGGATTACAATTTGGGAGAATGATCAATTCGACCCTTGAAGGAACAACTCGTGGTAAAAGAACGTTCATTGGTATGAAACATCTAGGGAATATCGAAACAGCATTTTTAAAAATATATCGATCCCTAAACATTAAACAACACCAACTTTATTCTTAGGTACTAACGGAAGTTTAATGATTAGAAATCCATTATGGTCACTGTGTTACGTTGACTTACGGTCAGTACGCATTACATCTGACACAATGATTAGAAAAGATTGATAAGACCTAGCGTTTTACCACGATAGGTTACGAAGGTGAGTATGTAACCCAGATGAAACTTATGTAGGGACGCAAAGGCTAGGGACAATCAAACTGAGAAGTGACATCAATCCATATAGTCAACGACTACTGATTTGCGTTGTGTAGGCAGGGATACAGACTTCCTAGTTGAAAGCCATAATCAACTGGACCGAATTAGATGCGTTTAAACTTTACTTCCTAGTTAATGAACTATAAAATCATTGCACTTTATTATTTCCCAATCTAATGAGTCCATGTTAAACTATATTCTTCAAGCCTAGTTGTTCTTTTATTGATGAAATCATTATTTCGACTCACGCTGTATTTATTTCGTTAATTTTTAATAGCTATGTTGGTGTGAAATGTGACGACATGCATCTATTTATACTTCTTCCAAGTTTTACGTTGTATACAAATCACTGACTGTGGAAAGGATATCAGTAATTCTCTCAATCTTGATACAGAACAATATTAATACTAGTTAGTAAAGTACAGTAATTCGCATACTTGACGAAATCTAATAAGCTTGTAAGAACTTTCAGTACACCTTCACTAACTAAATAAAGCGTGTGAAGATATAAAACATTCTGTGATCTCTAAATAGGCTAAGATAAACGATTAAATGGTCTGGAAACAAACAGATTTCTCTAGAAAATAACATACTTGGGTAACCCCTCTATAAACACCTGTTGCAGTTCCACATTCTGAACAAATCAACTGTCCAGTGTTTTCATCTTCTATAAGTTGACGATTTTCACAAATCGGACAACTCATTATAGCTAAGGAAATGATAAAAAGTAATATGTTTCTAAGCTTCGTAATTTACCTAGTATTATGCAATCTAATGTAATAAAAACTGCTAATGCAATCAAATACATATTTTGGAGTCACGTTCCGTCATGGGGTGTCAAAAAAGTTTTAGTTGGCATAGCACCACCCATTCATAATGTGCTTATAAGGTTAACTTAGTTTTACCTTCACAAATCACTTACCATGTACAGCAAGTATTCATTATCATGTTCTTAGGGTTTCGAAATTCGGTAGTACCTATCCCATTTGAAGTATCTAGTATCCTATATTTCTTGGCCTTATATTGGTTACTAGACTATTAATACCAGAAACCCAGAAGTAATTAATTATTACACTCTTCATATCATCATATTATCGGCTGGTTGCACCTGCCTTCACAAACTCATTGTAAGTAGATCACATTTGGGTTTAATGGTAACATCAAGGCACTCTATTTGATTGACTATTTGGCTATTTAATTTCTTACGGCTACGATTGATCACAATCATCATCACAGGTTAACCATAGACTTCAATAGCTGAATTATGCAACGTTAAGAAAGCGAGCAGATCTGCCAATTGTTTACTCCCACCTTGTTTTGTTATATTTTGACTAATAAAGCAAACATGTAATTCAAAATGAAGTGACCCACACGGTGCACGTAGTCAATGCTTATATCCAGAACGACCAACTTCTTGACAAAGGCATTGGTCACAGCAAATTTCTTGTTTACGACCAAAAAACCGGTAGGAGGTTTTGAGGTTGTAAAATACAAATTCTTCTTACATCGATTTATTGGTTTATCTGAACACATAAACATTGGTACAAAGAGGACACCAAATACATATGCAACACATAATAATAATGAGGTTGTGAAGAGATAAAAGGCTTAAAATGCGTATAATAAAAGGAAGAACAACAATGAACAGAAATTAAAGGATAGAAGTGAAGTAAAAACATCATTATGGGGAAGAGCAGTTCGGTTAGTAAAAATACAACCAGAAAGTGTTCAGTCAAAGAAGTTACATTTAGTTTTATGAAGTAAAAGAAAGCTACAGCAGGATCGCCACTGGTTTCTATTCTGAGTCATGTCTGATAACGTCTCTAGTCACTATGTTGCACCGTCTCTAGGACCACAGCCGGGAAGTCATGAAGGACCAAGAAAAGCCAGTCCTGTGCAACTTTCTTTCATACTACGACACCATGTGATACATCGACCATCTCTTCGCTTTTTCCAACCAGTCCCAATGTCGGCAATTAATGCACGACGTGGGATTCTCTGGGACGATCTTCGTAGAGCATGTCCGGACCACAGAAATCGACGTTTCAAGATAATGACACTAATTGGATTATCACCGCTGCCAATGCCAAACCTCTGCGTTATTAACATGGCATTGCCACTGGATGTCAGCATTCTTTCAGAGACAACTGTGACCAAACACAGAGTCTCGTCTAACATCTTCGACTCGGAGAGGCCAGGCCTCACAAGCATAGAGCAAACAACTGCTCTCACCAACGCGTTGTAGATCCGATCTTTTACAGCCAAACTAACAACACGAAGACGCCAAAGATGATCCAGATTGGAATAAGACGCTCCGGCTTTCACTATATTTGAACTGATTTCATCACTCACGCCACCACCAGCACTTATGCTGCTACCCAGATACACGGACTTCTCGATTACTTCCTTCTGCTCACTACCGAGGGTGAGTGTAGGATTAGAGTCCTGCCAGTCTTGTAGAAGTACTTTGCACTTGGACGGTGCAATGTACATGTCATACTTACGGACACTGGCTGCCAACTGATAAAATGCTGATTGCATGGCTTGAGTATCATCGAACAGTGAGACAATATCATCCGCATACTCAAGGTCGTTCTCCAGACAGCAGATTCACACCACCATTACCTAAATCCACCAGAGCTGTTTCTGGAACATCATCGATAGCAAATTTGAAGAAAAATGGTGAGATTGGGCGACCGTGCTTAGCCTCATTGATTTAATGTACCAGTGGAGTGAGGCGGTTGTGTGCGTTCACTCTGAGGTGTTAGTATATAGGATTTCAAGATGTTAATAGACTCAGACACATCCTTCCTCTATAGACAATCCCAGAGAACAGTTCACTCCAACAAACCGAAGGCGCTCCTAATGTCAAGAAACACGATTGCTGACCTGTGATAAGTATGACGGTGTTCTAACATTTGGTGGAGGGTGAAGATATAATCAATACATCCTCAACCAAAACAAAAACCAGTATGCTCCTCATTAGTCAATATTCCTCAGGTTTTGAACAATCTACGAAGTATGGCGTAAGTCCATAGTTTGGACGCAATAGGAAGTAAACTTATCCGCCGATAGCTGTTGCATAAAAGGCGTGAACCCTTTTTAAAGATAACACAACTATCCACTCATTCCGTGATGTTGGAACACTCTCTAATTACCCGACCTTTGTAAATAACTTAGTCAGTACCATAACCAGTAAGTCGCCACCATCTTTGAAAATGACCGGAGGTAAGTCATCTGGGCCTGGTGACTCGTGGGGCTTCAAGAGTTGGAGCTCTTGAAAACTTCACATCGTTAGATGGATCAGTCGTCACGGGCCATGGAGTGTAGGACAATTTGGTCGATGTCCCGGGGCATCAGACCAGCTAAACTGCCCCTCGTCCAAGATGTCGGTACATGTCACTGATTGACTTCCCGTTAGCTTCACAGATTGGTTCACTCACACCAAACCCCTTGCTACCAGTGACTCGGATGAGTTGAAAAAGCCTCCAGAGGTTACCAGATTCAGCCGCTTTTCCCAACTCGTTAGCAAGCTCCGACCACCAGGCTTCTCGGTCCTTACGCAAGCTTCGCACTATTTTATTAGGTAACAATCTTTGTTTATGGTCAAACTCGCGGTCACCCGCAATAGACCGACGTGATACAATGAGATGTAAGGAGCTTGTAGACACCCAGTTAATGGAGATCCAATAGATCAGTGCTGCTTCATCGCTGGTGCTTAGTGCGACACCAACACCAGCAAAACGAGACGAAGTTGCCACAGGGCTCCCGGATAAACGCAAGTAAAACAAGGTTTGCGAAGTGGCGGATGGAGTGCCAATTCGTAGTACTCTACTAGTCTTGAATACAGGTATCGGATGGACAGCAGACATCGACGTTGAAGCTTTCTAAAGACATAGCCAACCCTATCTGTTGTCTGATCTGCTTTAGTATGCGAACGTTGAAAGAGGCCAGTTTGAATGGCATACGTGGTTCTAGAAAGACTGTTTTAGTATTCGTAATCAGTGGTAGCATTCCACTCTCGAACAGTCAATGACTTGAGATCGTTTAGATAGGACAGGGTTTCCACCATAGGCGAAATTCTGTATAAGTTGGAGAATAAAATACGCAAAGTGAGAATAAGGAGTACATAAGTAATGAAGTACAAAAGAAACAAAAACGACTGTAACCAAATGATTGTGAATATGACTTTTCTGAATGAGCGCTGAAACAAGAGAAATTTTTCCAGCATTAATTATCCTTGATTTGTGTATGAGCTGGGATAATACCCAAGTGCCCAAACCAAAATAGGTGGTGTCCTTAGGGGGTCACTTCCCGAGCCTTTGACCTATAGTTCTAATTCAAAAAGTAGTGGAGAAACGTTAGAAGATGCCGTCTCATGGTAGTCGATGACCAACAATAGGTTCATATGCTATTCGCCTCCTCAGGATCCCGGAGCCCATTTGCACCATTGGTTTGGAATCAGGGTTTCCTAACTCCCCTGGGTGGATCCTCCGTACCCATTGACCCGGTTAAAGCGCCAGACATTTGCTTTTCGTCCTCTAAATTTCGTAACCAACCTCCCCACCGTGGGATTTAGTGAGAAATACTTCCCTGTCAGTGGCTGTGTATGCGAGGCGATGTGAGAACATTTCGAGAGGAAGAGCGGGCTCTCTCTATTATCGACCGTACCGAGGCATTTGGGGTACATAGCATTTGAATTACGACTTCATAGTTGACGTGTTTCACTAGTATACACTTACACACTATCACTTATGGAAACTCGCATGTGCTCATGACTAACTGAAGAATTCCAAGGGGTAGGGCATGAGGTCTGCACTTCAACATTTGTAGTCAGTTTATGTCTACCTTGGACAACTACCAAATCAAACCTCATTGATGTGAATCTAGTATTATTGCAAGTGATCATGTTTCTTAGAGTAGTATGTAAACAAAGCTTTAGTCTAGCGGAGATACTAGGTTCACACTAATGAGGTTTAGGCTGATGGAAACATCCTTATTTCCAGTAGCTAAGCAAGCCTATTATTGCTGTATATTTATGTAAATAAGTTCGACTGAGACAGACTTCCAACCTTCAATTTTAATATTAATCCCGAGTGGCAGTCAAGAGGCCAAGTGAATTATACATGCAATTGTCTTCTCTTATAAATTACCAAAAGTGGATGCAACCTTAAAAAATCATGTACCAGACGTCTCGCAGCTGACTGCTAGTACGTGGCAAATGATGGGCATTTTATATAATGCATCATTCAATACTGCGTCCAACAATGTCGTCGATTTAACGCAGTTTCACTTCCGTCGGAAACACTGGACATACGTTCAACACAAAGGTGTAAAGGATAGATTTGTAAGGTAATGGATTTCTTTGATTATTCATTTGGATGACGTATGAATAAGGCGACCAAGTTCATGGACAACAAGACAGAGACGTCATTGAAGCATGATCTGGCGTACATACGGCTCGGGACGTGGTGAGTTCAATTTGCTTGGAACTCCAAATAAGTCAGTCAGTCAGCTACAAAATACATCGGTCCAAGTTGTCATACCTCATTAGCACAACAAGACAAACACCGAATTCACAGTAGTAGTTACTTCAATGATAGTAATATATAAAAGGCAGATTGTATATAAGGATAAATGCAGGAAGAAAGAATTAGAAAGAAATGTATAAAGTAATTTTAATCTCACGGTTTAAGGGAAGACAAAGAGTGCATACACCGACGCTATTGTTATCGATTCTAAGCCATGTCATCCAGTCTCCAACCATTGGTTACGATAGTCACGCAGACACCAACCAAGTAGTCTGCATCTACCAACATGGCTTACACTAGAAGTTAGTGACTTCAATGACTGATGCCAAGTTTTGGTTTGGCCGCCCCTAACTTTCTTCCAGCCGTCTCGAACACTAGTCAGAATTGTGCATCGTGGTAATCGGTGTTCAGGCATACATAACACGTGGCCCAATCATCTCAGTCGATGAAGAGTTTATTTTTGCGTTTCCTAGGCTCAGTGATCAGTTTTATTGAATATTATTGTAAGTCTAGCCTCATATGGACTATCCATGAAAACATATGTTTGACCAGTGTATGATGAGTTAATCTTTTCTTTTGTGATCATTTTTTGATCAAATCATTTTTTTGGAAAACTTCAACATTCTCGCTTTTATCAGCTATACTGAACTGAATGAGACGTAGGTGTTAAAAGCCTTTATGACTCGATCTATCTTCTAAAAAAGGATATATTTTTAGTGTAAACTTCTATTTAATGAATCCATCATAAGCTGTTATATTTGTTTTTCAGGTTAATGACAATCATACTTGTTACTTACAACCAAGAGGCATCAGTGGCACTCTAATGTTGATATTCACGTAAACTGTGGATGAGAATCCTACAAACAAATTCATTTAGGTGCATGAATCATTCTTCTTACTGAGGTCAATTGTTTAGAGATATTTGCTCTACGGAAATGATGGTGATCGTATAGGACATTAAGGCGAAAAGAGGTATATTTAGCATAAATTTAGATGAGACAGACTATTCGGTGTACATTTAGGCGAAAAGTGGATTATCTGGCTACCCTTGAGGTATGAATCTCAAGACTTCACCTCATGGTAGATATTTAGGTAAAATGTTACTTTTCATGATAGGCGAAAAAGGCGACTTAAAAATGCAATTGACTACAAATTTTTGTAATAGATGTTGCCCAAATATTCCACAAGTTCGTCCATGCCCTAACGCTTTTGGTTTAATTGGATTTTCGTGGAAACTGTTCTAAGGAATTCGGATAGTTAACAGCATGACTATAAAGGGCACTACAAACGTAGTAAGTTGATGGCTGTGAAAAATAATGACCTACAGTAGGATATATGCACAATGACTTAGATTTTACAAAATCCAGGACACCAGGTTTGTTATGGTTCGTAAGTTATCATCCAATCTCACTACTTTGAGGGAATTTCGGGTAGATTCTGGGGTTTTCCACAAAATTCGGGGAAATTTTAAAATCTCCCAATTTCTGGAGAAATATTGAGGAATTTCCATAGATCTTTGGAAAATTTTGGGTCTTTGTGCCATTTCACCAAAAATTTATATAGCGGCTTCCTCCAAACGGATAAAATTTCCCCTAAAATAGGGAAATTGAGCATCAGCAACTGGCGTAGGAGATCTTGTGGCCGAATGTGAATATGAGACGATGCAGAGAATAAGATAAAACCGGCTTAAACGGACTTCTATATTATGTTCTTTAAGAAATACTTAATTTTTAGTGATGGACGTCTAAAATGAACGTACATTCAGAGTACGTACTCTGAAGATTAGGGAAGAATACAGAAAACATGAGGAAAGCTACAAAAAAAAGAACACAAAATATGCTGACCTTTAATAAGGAGAGTGGTCGATAACAGCCAACTAAAATACAAGAATGAAATGACCACAGTTTAATAATCGAAACTTGACGTTGGCAGGGTTGGTAAGGTTCGATGCCGAAGTTGGCGCTTAACAGTAGTGAGCAAGGTCTACAGATGGTAGTCTAGGTCAAGTATTGCATCTACTTCTTAGTGTTCAATCTATGTAAAAATTACATTATTATGCAACAATGACTCACAGAATGAAAGTCAAAGTGTTCACAAATACTGGAACTTTCGTCTTAGTGAATAATAAATTAATATGATTATAGTCACAAGAATATAAGAACCTTTTGCTTAACAAGCTTCCGTATTCAGTAACAATAAATCACCGCTTCATTCAGGTAGGGACCTAGGTATATTGATCGAACAAAAGACCAATATTTGTAAAGTAGGATAAAACGCTCTCCTCGGTTCTTAAGAATACATCAAGTTTGCTCCGAAGGACTCTATGGGAGTTGCCATAATCACATCAACCAGTAGCTAATTCCGAGACTTCATTACTCTATAAAAGTGGGTGTGCCAGTGATCCAATCTGCTGCGTTATATCTATTGGGCGCCAGCCTAAAAGTCCGTGTTGAACGTGAACTTAATAAAGTCTTTTAGAGTATACTCAAGTGTGTTTGGGATCCTAGGACTTATTAGAAAATTGTTTTCTCCATCCTTTCAGTCTAAGAAAAGACTCACTAGACACAGAATGACATTACGGAACTGTGTTATACTCTGACCCGTTACCTTCAATTTCGTAATGACCGTAAACTGTCACATACCCCGCGAAGAAGTACTTCACGTAGGAGGAGTCTTACTACAATGGGTATGTAGTGGCATTGGGCCCCAACACGAGACAGTTTGGGAAATAGGCACTCAACATTTAACACGGAGAAAGACCCAACGATGAAGACAGCGGGAAGCTGGAATAGAATTAATTCCAGTTGACCGGGTGGCATGGCTCAACCTTGCATGCGTGGTCCCTGCTGAATGTTATGTTATATTTTTTATTCATAATAAATATATTGTTCTATCTCTAGCCTAAGCTTGTTCTCCATAATGTATAGGCAACTGTTACGATGCAATCAGTTGGTGTAGACGATGATGTAACTTCCACGTAAAATCTTATAGACTAGGCAGTTATATCATGACAAATCGACAATTTTAAGATTTGGTCTATCATTAGAACAGTACTAATATCATAGTAGACCATAATTCTACAGGTCAACCGCACCTGGCAACCTTCGGCATTCTTTTCGAAACGATTGCTAAATACTGAATCCAGGTATAGGACTTTCGGTAGGGAACTCCTAGTTATGTATTGTGCTGATGATGACACAGGTATTCAGTGTTTGACAACGCTTTTACCAGTAACACCTTCTAATATAATTTGTACCCACCAAGAGAAATCAAAAGACAGAGTCGAGGAGATCGGAAGAGTGTATTTGGCGATAACCATTATATTGGAATTCTCTGATCTAATCTGGCTAGCGATTGCGGTAGATGTTGAGCACGGCGTTACCACACGTGATCTGGTGCGGATGCATGACCCAGCGCCTTTAGCTAGATGAGTCCACTAAAACATATGGTCAGCATCCAATGTCGAAAACTTACAAAGCTATTTATTTTGGGGATTTATTTACCGCTACAGTGTTTTACGTCATTTTCAACTCTCTGTAGAAGGCTGAGAATTCACTTTTTCACTGATCACAAACCCCTTACCTTCTCTTTAAGCTCATCTTCAGACAAGTACTCACCTCGAGAGTCTCGACAACTGGACTACATTTCTCAGTTTACTTCAGATATTCAACACATTTCTGGAGTAAACAATGTAGTCGCAGACACCTTGTTTCGTATAACTTCCTTGAACAGTTTCCAAGGAATCGACTTTATTAAATCGCTCAGCTCCAAAGAGAAGACATTGATCCACAGCACGAGTTATCGTTGACAACCCTTAAACTGCGCATCAAACAGATGGGAACAGGTAAGGAAACCTTACTATGTGACACAAAAACAGGTAAGGATCTTCAAATCGTGCCGAAATATTATCGGCGCCACGTTTTCAATAGGCTGCACAAACTTTCGCATCCAGGTGTTCGTGCAACCATCACGCTTATAGCAGAACGTTTTTGCTGGCCTGGTATGAATAAAGACGTGAGGCAGTGGGCACGCTCCAGTGTAAGCTACTTGAAATCTGAGAGTTTGGACACAACAAATGTCCCTTAGGCTCACTCTTAACTCTCGATTATTGTTTCGACGATGTTCATCTGCATTTGGAAGTATGTTGACCAGATTGAAATGGATACTCTTACCTCTTAACCTGCGTAGACCGTTTCACTCGATGGCTAGGAACAGTACCTATCAAGAACATCACTGCTGAAACAGTAGCCAGCGTTTTCGTCGAACGATGGGTAGCAAACTTCAGCTGTCCTTCAACTATCACTACAGACCGCGGCCGTCAGTTTGATACCGAACCTTTCCGTCGTCTGAGCACACTTTTAGGAATCACTCGCTTACGAACGACTGCCTATCACTCACAAGCAAACGGGTTGGTAGAACGCTTTCACCGACAACTGAAAGCTTCACTATCAGCTGCAAACGTTTCATAGTGGCCTGACACTCTTCCACTCGTCTTACTAGGTATTCGCAATGCAGTGAAAGCTGACATTGGATACACCGCAGCTCAACTCGTTTATGGGACGACACTTCCAGGAGAATTCGTGGATCCTTCATCCTCTTCAATGAGCATGGATCTAACCACCTACACGAACAGGCTTACAAACGCAATGCGTTCAGTTAAATCTGTTTCCACTCGACTTCAATCAACTGATGTTTTCGTTCAACCTGACTTACGATATAGTACACACGTTTTTGTCCGTCGAGACTCGCATCGACGATCCTTCGAATCAGCATACGATGGACCTTTCAAAGTTCCTCAGCACGAATTTAAGTACTATATAATCGATAAGAATGGAACCAACGATAGCATCAGCATCGATTGAATCAAAGCAGTGCATTCTGAAGGAACTCCTATTCACGTCGATTTTCCTTCAGTACAATCGCCCGACAGGTATCCTACACTTACAATACCTCAACCGACAGCCGACCCACGCGATGATACTTCGACAGTATCAGAAAATAAACTTAAAACAACGCGTTCTGGAAGAAGAATAAGATTTCCAGAACATTTGAATAACTGTTGCACGTAAGACACCAGTTAACATCTTGCTTCATCTCGATTTTCCATGGCATTTTATATGATACAAAAAAATCAATTTTTATATGCTTATATTTATATATATTCATTATTTCGTTAATACGTTTATTAGATTTTTAAAAAAAACGAAAAGCCATTTCGTAACAGTCGCTTTTACGCTATCGCATGCACATGAGTTTATTTTGCTTTTTTCGCCCACTTTGTGTCTTAACGCGCTCACGCGTTCATTTCGACATGCACTTACATTTTCTTCTTTTCAGGATTGCTGGAAAAGAATGATGCAGTTTACGAGGAACCGAAATTTTCATCGTACTTTTTCTCTTTCTACGATATTGTAATTCATGGTTCCTTATAGTAAGGAAAGACGACTAGAGGCTGCCAAACCTAGCAAGCAATCAGAAGAGTGTTTAACAACTACAAACTCGTTGGGTTCAAACTTCTGACTAGTCACATCTTGGGGTCATTACTACCCCGCTGGAGGGGGAGTGATTTGTAGAGGTAAATAAATCCACAAAATAATAGCTCTGTAAGTCTTCGACATTGGATGCTGACCACATTAGTTTTGATGGACTCATCTAGCTGAAGGTGCTCGGTCATGCATCCGCACCAGGTCACGAGCGGGAACGCCGTGCTCAACATCCCCTGTAATCGCTAGCCAGATTAGATCAAACGATCCTCGATGTATTAATAGCCTATCAAATATAAATTCGAACCTCCTCGCCTCTGTCTTTTGATTTCACTGGGTGGGTACGCTTCATATTAGGTGTTACTGGTTAAAGCGTTGTTAAACTCCAAATGCCTGTGGCATCTTCACTATAATCGTCCTCCACTAATGATGCAGTACTAAGCTACCCTCTAACTCCAGAATATTCCCTCTTCTCCTAGTCCTTTGATTTATGTACGAATATGAGTGTTTGTGGTGTTCTACAGATTCCTTAATAAATGTTTCTTCATACGACCTTCTAGACTTGCAGAGGGTCGAGGCATAAATATTTCGAACTTCTCGATATTGAAATTTCGTTCCGTTAGCATCCGGTGACCGAATTCTCTTACAGAGAGGGGTGTGAACTTAATTATTAATTCACAGTGGGGAGTTTCTCGGACCCCTCAGCGTAGTCTAAAAGATGTGTTGTGCAGTGACGTTTGTGTACGAATTTCTAAATATATTTCAGAACGTTACAACTGGGGACTAATCTGCTGCGGATGCTGAGTGTATGGTGCCTTGTACATTTGCCCTCCAGACTTTAGGTTATTCAATATTATAGTTTTGGTACAATATAGAATTCTCAGCACAGGTTATTTCAACAATTTACTTACGCAACAACAAAAAAACACAGTAACGAATACAAAAAAAATAAAAAAGGTTTTTTTAAAAAGAAAAACAACCGAAAAACTGTACAACTTTTAAAATTAAGGACATGTTAATAATGCAAGTTATTTACTAGGTTAACTCTAACAACCTGTTCGTCACAGAGTATATTTGCTAGGTAAGGTATTATAGAACTTTTATACTTTTGCTTGCGTACGTGGATTTTAATGTAATTACGTCTCGTTCCACCAGAAGATATACAAGGAGAAAGATAAGAGTGAAGGCGATGGCTAGTATCTGATAAAATAACACCTGCCAGGAGTTTGCATGATTTTAAGTGTCTATCCACAACTATATTAATTATGACCTCGAAAGATCCACCACACATCTTGCCAGCTGCCTTCAGCACTCTCCGCAATACAACAAAGTCTTTGCTCAAAAGCTCCGAAAAGGAATAATGGATAACAGTAAAGAATAATAGGTAATATGCAAAAATCGACAAATTGTTAGAGTAAATGACGAGTGATCCTAAGAGCATGCAGTCTCTTTATGTAGTAGGTCAGACGGAAAACCTTCCTTGATAACAATAAAACGTGGGAAGACCAAGACAGATCAGAGGAAAAGGTGACACCAACATAATTGACCTTCGACACTGTGTTTATCAAAGAGTCTCCGATGGTACAAGCATTATGGGATTTCAAAATGGTGTTTAGATGCCGTTCACGTATCATGCTAAAGTTAACAGCTTGACATTTAGACGGATTAAGTATAAGACCATTACCAACAGATCAACAACCGGTACGAGACAAAAACTCACTCATTTCTATTGGATGTAAAGAGGAAGAGATAGGCATACATACAGTGAGATCATCTGCATATTTTACAAAAGTGTTTTCTGTGTAAGATGGCAGATCGTGCAGAAAAAAAGAGAAAAGAAGAGGTGAAAGAACAGCTCCTTGTGGTACACCTTCGTGAGACAGCAGAGACTCTGAACACTTTCCTCCAAACACAGTGTACTGTTCCCTTCTAGAGAAGTAGGAACATAGCCAGTTGGTTATCCAGCTGTCAGTGTTGACGCTGATTAACCTGTTAAGTAAACGTTGTCTTGGTATAGAATCAAAAGCTGAAGTATTGTTCAGAAAAGCACATCGAACATGCTTCTTACCCTTTTCTAAGTTGAACACTATGTTGTGATGCAGAACAGCAACTGCATCTAAAGTACTTCTTTTGCGTCTGTAAGCAAACTGATATGGATCAATATGCTCTTTTATCCAGGCTGAAGTGGAAGCATTAATGATTTTTCCATTGTTTTGTGGAAGGGTGAAGTTATTGCAATAGGTCTAAATTTTACATTCTTATCACCAGATGCTTTCTTGGGTACAGGAATTATCTTCATCTTTCTCCACATTTTCGGCATGAGATTAGATGAGAAGGATCTGTTAAAGATAGCTGTGAACGGATAACATAGGACGTCAGCACACTTTTTAAAAAGGATGTTTGGGATACCATCAGGTCCCAAACATCGAAATGAATTAAGCGACTGGTGACATTTTCGTACATCAGTCTCAGTGAAAGTAGGAACACAGCTATTATTTAAACCCGTGGATAGAGGGAGCATCACATCTGATGACTGGCGTACAAAAGACTTATTTAAGTCACAAACATTCAGCTGGTTATCGTTACTAAACTGTCTGTCACCTGTAAGTTCTTTAAAGCGTTTCCACATACTTGGAGAGTTTTTGCAAGACAAGAGTTTGTGACAACTATATGGGAACCAAAGATTAGAACTGAATGCCTAGGGGTAGCATATTTTGAAGGTTTGTGTCATCAACATCACAGCAGGTCAATATAAGATCTGGTAAGAACTATTCGGAGTCCCGGTAGTATCTAATTGTTTCACAATTTACACTAGAGGACATGTGATAACAGTGTCAGCTGTTTTGTGTTCGGGATGTTTTTCTGGCAACCCGATCCTCGGGTCTTTTCCAGTCTGACGTGAATAAGATAAAGTCTCATAAGATTAAACATCGACCACTTGATGACCAAGTATCAAAACCGACTAGCAAGACCTCACTCACCTCAGTTTGAACTGCGGTGGACCAAACCAGTCAGCAGCTCTTGTCGTTTTCATTTCAAGTGGCAACTAACTAATTTCCACGTTCGAGGTTCATAGGGCACGTTATCGATAACTGTAAATGGGAAAGTATTTCCACTGAATAGAGCTACTCCTCCTCCTCTACACTTATGGATTATTTGGGTCTTTTTAATAGTAAAATTTCAAGATGAGGTTCCTCATAAAGCATGCATAATGATCCCTATGAAGTCTTCAAAACATAGTTATGTCACATATACTTTTAGTATGTGTTATATTTGCACTCTGTGGTCATCATATTGATAATGAAGCGGAAAATATATGGATGACATATAGTCGTGGGTGTTGTCATATGCTCGAGATTCAGAAATCTTTCAGGGTATCATGAGACACGAATTTGCTTTGCAGCCTTCAGATTTAATAATTCAGGGTCCATGGAAAACTAGTGAGGTACATACCATTTGCCGATTATCTTTAGCAGCATCCTGGCTTTGCAGATGAGAGAAAAGTATCCTGAGAGCTGTTACAATATTTGAAACCGCTTTTCTCATCATAGTAGGGTAGAGCACGTCTGAGAAAAATGTGTACTCATATATGTGCCGAAATGTCTGGTAAACCAGCTCAGAGCTAAAATTTACACTCGAGATACCTGTTAAAGCACTCGTAGATGTCAGTTGTATGTGACGGCTGAGTATAGACTGCCACTTTAAAAAGGCTTAGAAAAAAGATGAGATAAAGACTACAAACGGCGTTCCTTACTATTAAATTAACAAGATGCATGTTTTGGATTATTGTTTTACTTTTTCAGTTATTGTTAAAACCGTCGTTGTTTCGCCAACCATTAGACCTTGGTTTCATTTTTCGCTGTCATGGTGAAGATATTCGTTGGGAACCTAAATCCAGAATCCAAAGCTTCTGATCTCCGCAAAAAATTTGAAGCCTTTGGGAAGGTTACGGAATGTGATGTTGTCAATAATTATGGCTTCGTGGTAGGTTGTGATAGTTTTCCAATCAACTTTCTAAGCATATGGAAAAAGAGTCTGAGGCTGAAGCTGCAATAGAAGGACTTCAAAATGCCATTCTTGATGGGGTGAAAATTAATGTTGAACGCAGCCACGGGAAACGAGGTGGTGGTCCCGGGCCTACTAGACGTAGAAATGATGGGCGTTATCGGGATTATCCACCGGAAAGGGGACCACGTGCGCCACCACGTTACATGAATTCCGGCCCACCTCCCCCGCGAATGGGACGTTATGGTCCGGCTTGGGATGATGGGTATGGAGGGCCCTACGGACCACCACCACGTAACAGCTCTAGAGGTAATATATGCACTATGAATCTATATTCATTTAGGTTACGATTATCCCCCAAACGGTGCCAATGGAAGGTATCCGCCAATTGACCGTGGAGAACAACACAGACCACTCCCACGTGGTCCAGCCCGTGACCAGCTGCCGCTACCACCTAATGTGGGATATCGTGGGCCTCCAGTCCCTGAGCCTATACCATCGTCTCGAGATTATCCTCCAAAACCTCCCCCAATCAGACAAAGTTACGATGTGTACGGTGAATTTGACCGGTACCGGGAGCCAATAACACCATCAGGTCCTCCACGTGCAAACGATTATTATGATACATACGGCAGCTATAGCAGCGGAAACTACGAGTAGGCTTCTTTCTAAAACACTAACCACTTCAGAGACTATAGAGATAACGATAGATCAATGTCTAATTACGATTCGGGATACGATTACAGTTACTATGACTATGGGATGGATAGCAGATCACCGGTTCCACCAAGATCAGGGTAGGCGGTTATAATTACTTAATAACAACTAATTATCAAGGTACAGCTACGGTCGCCCCTAACTAAAGTAAGTGGTTTATGATAAGCTACTCAGAATGTATTACTCCAAGTGTTGAGAGTTTGTGCGTGCGTGGTCGTCTAAGTTGCTTAGTAAACGTGCTTCTCGTTTGCCCGCAGCCTAGATCTGTGCGTTGACATAACGTCCAATTTTTCGTTCCCCATAACTCAAGTTTACCTAACATTTCAGAGTCGTCCCGTGAAGTCAAACGCGAAGCAACCTCGAATCACGTAGGCAAGAGACGTTTGCATTTATTACTCGTTTCCTGTTCATCGTTCGCATCAACGTTATTTGGCTAGTGTCAGCAGTCGTACCCACGATCTTCTGGCTTTTGCGTTTTTAGACATCAATTCACTTTCAGTCGTAAATGTGACTTCTCGTTTTTATGCGTCATAAGAGACCGTCCAAATTTCCCATTTATCTTTTTTGAAATATAAATTGTGTTAGAAATCGTTGCTTTTGCGTTAGTTGTAGTCTACCTCGTCTGGTCTCTACGCGTTGCTTCACGTTTCATACAACTTTTTATTTAGGCTGGCAAATCTCTTGTTGATTATAGGTAGTATGTGTCTATTTGTCAACGTCCGCAGCTGATTTCCGGAGATGGCCTTCATGTAAGAACATCGTACTCTGTCAAAATGCCACGTCAGTGTCTCGTGCTGATTACTGCTCCTGCCACGTTTGTCAACAACAACTTGTGGGTTTTTAAAATACTTGCTTGAATAAACCGTCAAGACCCTTTATATCTCATACGGCGTTTTCACACTGACATTCGAGAATGACACTAGCCTTCACTGCGTGTCTTCTTACGAAAATTTCATTCTACATTACATGGGGTGCTGTACTCTACGAAGCCGTAAGATTATTCCGTGCATATATGCAAGCTTTTTTACACAAACGAAGTCGGAACTATGTGGCGTCGCAAGTATTCATCGGACTAGAGAGCTAATTTTTGTTCTAGTCGTATAAATGAGTACCTTCAGGTGTGTTTAGAATTTTTTCTTCATAAGTAGATCATTCATCACTTGATGAAAGTGTCAATTAATCAAACGTTTTTCTGAAGAGAATTGAGTTTTCATGTGCAAGCTGTGAATCTATCTTAACCGATCACTAGGTCTTGACGGGTGCCTCAAAAGTTCAACAACCATGTTATAGTCAAACATTTAATTGAACCCTCATAAGTTCCGGTTAGATAGGCTAAGTAATACTATCTATATTTATGGGGAAACCTGTTGTTCGTCTACTCCAACAACCGAATTCATGTATAGTTTGATGCCGTTCGAATCTTACATCGACTCAGGGTGTGTGATCGAGTCTATAAACACCCACACATTTGTATAATATATTCCTCAGCCTACGTTTAAGTTCGATTCACAGTAAATCGGGTAGATGTTGATTATTCATTGTCTTATATTAGTTGTATCGTTACAGTTTCTGATAATCTAAAGACATTTCGCAATAAAGTGGTTAATTAGCAATACTGAGGTTCTGCCCGGTATATGTCTAACATTCAAGTATGTATTGCCGGGAACGAACAGATTTTCTCCAGTAATCTCTTTGAATGTATGTCAGTCCGGAATAGTCTGGTGATGATGCTGAGCGACCATAAAATCGATTCTTAGCATCGGGTCTCAATTCTAAGGCGTCCAATGGTTCCACACTTTCCCAAACTGGATTACTGTTCATTTTGCCACGTTATATTAACGGGTTATGAAGGACAATAGTTTTCGTCAGAATGATAAGACGCGTCTCATCATCGATAGTTATCGATTTCCTATATATTCAAGTTTCGAAATAATATTTCATTTATTGTATTAATTATTTATTTGGACTTCAAATAAACAAATTTATCCATAACTCCTTGTTTTCTGGACAAACTTAGTAAATGTATTAAATACTGCAATCTGAAGGTGAAAAGATAGTCCATCACATCCATAGTTGTCTTAAGAATCCTAAAGCGGCCGAGAATATAGGTCAAATAATATTAATTGCGATGGTCATGACGTTTCCTTTGTTCAGTTGATTTGTAACTGATGTCATCATGTACTCCTAGGCGCGGTGGAGTTCTGTCGATCGAGTTGCTATGTGTCTGTTTAGTGGAATTGGCTTGGCGCTAACCGCTTGACATGCAAGTGTGTCTCGAAAAGTTTGGTGCAGTTTCGTCCAGCCAATTTTAATTATCTAGTTTGTCGTATGGTTCTTTTCTGCAGTGATGCAGCATTTAAATTCTAAGCTTAGATGAGTGTTTAATAACAAACTTGCTAGAAAGTTCCGAGTTCTTTAGTTTGTGTTACGATTGTAGATTTGGGTGATCAAATTAGAAGTCATGGGTAACATCTTGTAAAGCCGCTGAAGGATCAATTGTTTTATTGATGTGATCTTTTTAAACACTCCCTCAAACAACGGGGTGCTCACTGTTCTTGTCACCCGTCAAACTGAAACTTTGTGGAAGCACCATCCTTTGCAACAGTAGTGTGAGGCGTCATATCACTCGTACTCAACATGGGACCAGACAATTCCGTATCGGTTTTAGTTAGCACTGCGGAATTCGTTATCGAAGACTGTGCATGACAGTTTTTTAGGTTATGTAGAACCGAGGAATGAGTTACTATCGAGCTTTTGACTTTCAGTTTTCGACCGTAGTTCACCATAAACCCACAGATTTCCACCTAATAGTCTATTCCAAACAGTACGCCAACATACAGTTACCAGTTTAATACATTGGTGCAAGTTATCCATCTCGGTTTTCCGTTTCTTCCTAAAACTGTGTTCCCAAATACACACTTTACTTGGCGACTCCACCATTTTAGGGTGATGCTTCAAAAATGTGTAGTCGAACATGCCTGACGAGGTATATCTCTTTTCAGTCTATTAGCACATGTTCTTCCAAACATTTTTGAATAGGACATGGAGCGTGTTTACACTTATCTCTATATATTCAGCGATCTTTGAGTAGATCTTGCAGGGCTTGGAACCTGTTGTTAAGAGCTGTCTTGGATTCGTCGAGTTTGTCAGTCTCTCGGCGGAAGGCTATACTGAACCTTTGTAATGCTGTCACTCCAGTGGTCTAGTGGTTCTTTAGCTTCACTTTTATCTTGGCCACAACCAAGTGGTGGTCTGGAGGTATGTCAGTTCTCTTGATTCTCATGTCTTCCATTGACCTTCAGAATTGTTTATTGATGCAAATATGATCTATCTGATTTCCTGTAGTGTGATCCGGTGAATGCCATGTAAGTTTGTGGGGCAGTGCAGTGTCACCTATAACCATTTTTAATGCGCATAAATTTGCAAAATTGTCACTTGTCCCTTTCTCACAGTTCATGTCATCCCATGATATCATCATACTTTGGCGTTTAGGTCTCCGACAGGTCGTTTCCTGAGCACTTCTCTATGACTCACTGAAGCCTCTCATAAAGCTGATATTTACCGTCTTCATTTACACCATTTTTGTGGGCATAGCACTGGATAACATTCATTGTAATTCCCTCTTTCTTTGTTATGAAGGATGCTTTGATGATTCTGGATCCATAAGATTCCCATCCTATAAGTGTTTTTCGTGCTTCTTTGTACAGCATCAGCACAACTCCTTGTGTGTATGAGTCATTTTCTTCTTCATGACCCAAGTACAACAGCATCTCTCCGGAATCTAATATTTTCTGTCCAGTTTGTGTTCAATGAGTTTCACTGAGTCTGAGAACCGCCAAGTTGTATCCTCATTTCCGTAGCTGTTTGACTGGTCCTCCCGATCTATCTGATTCCCTGTAGTGTGATCCGGTGAGACCCATTTTGATTTGTGTAAATAATCAAAATACTAAGAAGCACCAAGTTAAATCGAACTGTCCTATGGCGGCGAAATTGTAATGACTACATTTATCTCAGTCCAATGGAGAATGTATTCACGTTTTGGTTTGTTCACCTCTAGCTTTCTCCCGGCTACATCAGCCTTGCGTTACATGGCTTTATATTTGGATCTTTAAACAAAGCCCAACTTCGTGTGTTTTACTGAACAACCGTCTCAGTATATCGCATGCTCTACGATAACCTGATGATGGTGGAAGCATTATGCATCATTTTATGGCCTGTCGAGCCTTTACAATAATGTAACAAGATAAGGAGCCGTTGACCATCGTCTTCGACCTTGGATACCACATAACTCGAGCTGTGATAAATTTCCTGTATTTGGCTGGTTGCCCATCAGAATTACTTAGTTCTACCTCTGGGAGCTCAAGACCCACACCTAGAGATGGCAAGGTCACTTCCCTATTCTTCGTTCGTGGGTAGTCTAACAGATTTGGCTTTTCTGGGAACTTGATTCTAATATCATGAGAACGACTCGCGGAACTTTGGACATACTCCCGTCTTCTGTCGACACAGCTGGATGCAGAAGATACTTTACTACATATATTCTCTTTTAGTCATAACGACTCCAACCCTCTCTGAAGGCGCAACAGCTGCTTATCTTTAAAATCTCTAATAGTTGTCTTTTCCTCAACTGCTTTTCTTTTAAATCTGCTAAGGTGATGCTAGAGTTAATTTTGATGTGCCTACTTACTAATCTAGTATTAGAGCTATGACATGAAGATATATCAAAAGAAACTTGCCGTATATCAGGAGGCGCATCTGACTGCATTTCTTCATGGCCCAATACCAGGTCTTTGTTGATCTTATTGCGCTTGCCAGGCATTGCAGTGTTCGTTTGAGAACCATCTCATTCGGAGTTGCATGCTAGGTGTTATAAAAATACGTAAGCAATCCTTCGATGACATCTATTATCAAATACTAGTAGCCTGCGAATATCTACCTTTTTAGACACTAAGTCTCACTTTCCTGAGGAAGAACAACCGGACGAACACTAACACAGTATACTAGCCCTTTAGTTAACGGACAGGCACCTCGTCTACTCCACACGTTGCCAGAAGCTAATCAAAATTCTAAATTGTGCTAAGATTCCCTCAGTCAGCAATATCAAGTTGCATGTCTCAATAGTTTAATGAATAGATAAACCGG